TTCATGGTTTCCTTCTGAGTCTCCCAAGCTAATCCCCCAACAAACACTTTCGTATAAGTGGTGTCGCCAAACTGCCCTGCCAAGTTAGCTGGAGTCATCTTCTGACTTCTGAGCTCAGTTCCCTCTACTAGTCTAGTACAATTCTTCCGCTCTTCGATCTGTGTTTATGTAGACCAACAGCTAGCACCCCAATTAACAAGCTCTCTGCATGTGACAAATGAATGATACCCTAGTAGTTTATGCGAAGGGCAGAGAGGGATCTATGTGCTGGGATCAAGATCAACAGAAGATGGGAAATCCCTCAAGAGGAAGAGGAGGATATTTTCTGTTTTGTTTTTGGATAAAAGTTGTGGTGAAGATGAGGTAGGGTTAGTGGTGGTGTTGATGAAGGGAAGAGACAATTAGGTCAGAGATCCAGAGGGAGGGAAAAAGATTGGAGAGAGAGAGAGAGAGAGGGAAATGGGAGGGAAGGGAAAAGCAAAAGAAAAAAGGAAGTCTCGTAATAATACGGACACGAATTATATACGCCGCAGCCCCCACCCCACTCTTCCTTTTTACACTTTGCCACCCATAATCTTTACGCGCTTAATGTTATGTTGTGCTTACTGCTTACTACTACTCTAAACCTCATCCACCATTTACAATTCCCATTCAGTTGTTTTCTTCTCTTTTTTTTAAGTAGAAAATTTTAAATCAAATGCTTCCTACTTACAGTTTCTCACCTTTCACTTGTTACTTGTATCGTATTATTATTTTTTACTAGTATTAATGCTCGTCCTGCTTGTTTAGAGTTTTAAAATTAAATACACAAATGAAAAAGATATTCAATATAAAGTTAAAAATTGTCTTACAAAACATCTAGTTTTCGAATATGAATTGTCAAAGAAATTGGATGAAAACGGAGTAGCGGATATGGTGGTTCATATATAGTTCAAAGTGTATTTCACGAGTAAAAACGTATTAGTCAAAAAAATTTAATTTGTCTATTCTTATTTTGATCATATATACAGATGAAAACTCTAAACAGATCTTAATTATATACGTTTGGGGGAATAATTATTAGGCTTTAGGGGGGAGATTATTAGTAATCAATTCATAAAGATGTTGCATTCTAAAAATAGTGAACTTAAGGCTATCATTATAATAGTTAGGCATTAATCCTTTAAAAATTTTAAATAAAAGTGGCAAGTTGCAGATCTGTTAAATATCTCTATACATATTATCTCTCAAAGATAAACATATTTGAAGCATAAGATATCAAATTATCTTTAAAGAAATATACTATATGTCACTTGAACTTTCAGCTAAAAGATAAACATACAAGATCATATCTATGACCAAAATTTTTTAGTCAAGAAAAAAAATGCTCCCTACAATCAGGTTATAATTTGATCAATAATCTCTATATTGAGAGAAAACCATGCAAAGTCATTACATTTGATTATATATATATATATATATATATATATATATGCAATCTCTACCACTAAAGCTTTAAAAACTTATGAACTTGCTTTTGTTTTTATGCTAGAGATAGGAGGTTCGAAACCAATGGGGAGATTCCTGAATTTAGTATCTATAACTGTACACAAGTACAAATAAGTAAGAGAGAGAGACGGTGAATGTTCGGAAGCATGAACGTGCGTGTACATACGCGCGCTGGTAGGAGAATGGGGGAGTTGGTAAGAGGGTAGAGACTAGAGCGTAGAATTATTATTGTGTCCCTCCGAATGGCAGTCCTCATGGCTGGCTGTGGCTGTTGAGTGTTGGCTTTGATTCTATTCATTTATTTTTTTATTTTTTATTTTTTTTTTAATAAATGACAGGTATGTGCCCAAAGTATTATTGGGGCTTCGACTTTGCAGTATTTACGGAGTAATGCCCAGAGGAGAGGACTAAGACTGCACTTTGCAAGAGGAGATCGTCGCATGATTTGATGGCAAAAACGGTACGGCCGGGAGGCGGTTCGTGGTTACGATGATTCGCCTGCGCATCATCCTTCCTCAATAAGTACTCCAGTAGACAGTAGAATTAAGGTGACTAGACAACACTAGATCACCGTACCGTTGGGAGTTTTTTAAGTCCTGAAAATGAGGTAGGAAGGAATGTTGTAGCTGCGGAAAATGAATAGCTAGCATCCGAATTAAGTATTTACGCACTAACTATAACTATAACGATCTGTTTGGCTGTGTGATTTTTTTTTTTTTTTGTCGACACAGGGGTGTACGGGTCAATCCTTACGGGGCCCGATTAATTCCCTGTGGCCCGGGCTTTGGCGCCCCAACCCGACCCAAGCACGGTAAGTGCGCAGAGGAATCCAGCAGCGCAGGAATTCGAACCTGGGACCTAGAGATTCACCACGGGGAGGTGCCGCCACTGAACCATTCACGCGGGACGTTTGGCTGTGTGATTGAATGAATGAATCCATCCATCCATCCATCCATCCCCGTAAAGTTCCACACACAGACACGGTCTGGTTTCTTTATTGTAGTTATAAATAGTACCGCTGAAGGCTGAAGCTGCTGCCTACCAATAATAGGATAATGTTAAAAGTTTGCAGTAGCCAGGGCTGAAGGCTGAAGGCTGCAGGCTGCAGGCTGGCTGGAGCTCATTTCATTTCATTTTTTTTCTCAGCTATAAACCCTAGTAGGGAGAACCGCCCCATGCATTCCTTGATTTTCCTACTAACTAATGGAGTATGCTGTATCCTATCCTAATGAAGGGGGTAGCTCATCATCAGCTGGTGGTTTGCGGGATGGACGGACGGACGGATGGAGTATATCATCATGTTTGTGACAAGGCAGAAAAAATTAATAAAATCTTAAAGCATGCATGCTGATGCTGATGCTGATGCTGCTGCAGCTGGACATTATATTGGTAGCTATACAGTAACCGCGAAGAATCTTTGTCCCTCGCTTAGACGGATAATTGAAACATGAGAAAGAAAGAATTGACATGTAGTGGGTAGTAAAATAATACTTACTACTACTTTACTTACTGACTAGTAGTAGTATATATTATATTAATATAATATAGATATGACTAGTGTATATCAGTGCAAACTGCAGGGACAGCCGTACAGCGTCAAACCAACCGTAACTCTCTATCTCCCTCTACGTTCCAACAACAATATGCTAGTACTGGAAGTAGAGTTGAGCAAATTCGGTACGAATTCATAATCGATAATTTGAAATTGGCCATTTGAAAGTGAAATAAATTTAGATATATTCAATTTGAAATTGAAAGCGATTTAGATTTTTACAAGTTTAATAATCGAATTCAATGAACTGAAATATTGATTTTGCACCGAATGCTGACCCCTAATTGGGAGCACATTTTATTGTGTCAACATTGCAAGTGTAATTTTTAACTGTTTTTTTTTTCTTTTGGGGGAGGGGGGACTTTTTCCCTTTTTTTAAACAAACATGTGATAGAGATATTCGATACCAACGGGTCGAGAGTCTTTCTTTTTTTTTTTTTTTGAAAAAAAAAAAGAAGGAAAGCTATGAAACTGTTCAGGTCATAATTAACAAGGACAGGAAGGACTTGGTTGGAAAAAGGGTAAAAGATAAAAAGTTGTATGTATATACTTAAGAATCCAATCCTTCAAATCGATAAATAAATAAAAATCGAAAAACATGAGTACATAGTAGTAGTGTGTCCCCATATACAATATACACTAGTTAGCTAGCTAGTTAGTAGCAGATTGCCCATATTTATTTTAGGGTTGATGGAGGATGGGAAGGGTGGTTATTCAATTAAGCCGTAGAAATGAAATTGGCAGATAAGAGTATAATGTAGATAGAGCCTAGAGGAGCGAAATGAAGCAGCTACCACTTCTTAGAACTTAGAAGAATATATATATACATGGAAGTGGAAGTGAGAAATCGTACGTGTGAAAACGAATTGTGAATTTGTCCACCGTCTTGAACAAGAGGATGAACCTTTTTTTTCTGGTAGTGCTGGGAGGGGGCTCCCAAGATTCGAACATGTTCCCTTTACGGTCTTTGAGTTGGAATGCCCGGTGGACATGTAGCTAAGGTTGGCGGTCATGGGTAAGTACAACATGTGTCGCTGTCGTCCACACCAGATGTAATAGATTAGGGAAAATCGCCAATTTAGTCCCTAAACTTTTTTTTTCCGTCAATTTAGTCCCTATACATTATTTATAGCCAATTTAATCCCTAAACTTATATTTCGATTCCAATCAAGGAACTTAGCGGCGGCGCCACCTCATAATTTCCATCGGCTTCCAGATCTAGGAACCCAGAAGGGGTATTTTAGGGACTTCCATATTTTTCATATTTCCCTTTGACTTTCATCTTATTTCTATATGGTCTTCACCTTCAACGACACCTCCCTCTCATCTATCACATCAGAGCGTCTACTCCGGGCTATGCAGAGCGTCTACTCCGTCCTCTGCTCCCTCAACCTCCAGGACAAGGTCTCCATCACCACTGCCCACTCCCTCGCCGTCCTCCAGACCTCCTACCTCCCCTTCGCCTGCAGGTTCCACCCGGACCTCACCCCCTGCTTGACTGCCATCCTCAACTTCCATCTCAAGACCGGCTCCCCTTTCCTCATCAATGCCTACCCCTACTTCGCCTACAAGGCCAACCCCAAGCAGGTCCCTCTGGAGTTCGTCCTTTTCCAGCCCAACTCCGGGATCGTCGATCCCGCCACCCCTACTGTATTTATTCCAGTGTAAACAATTATAATAAACCCCAGTTTCCTCGAAACTTTGTAAAAAAATTAAAGAATTTCCATCTTTGCCTCCTCATCATCGGGATGAATTATGCAGAGTTATCTCCTTCAAAAGCTTGTTAAAGTGCTGGGAAGAAGATCAATGGGGTGCGTGCCATAGCTGCTTTGGCATTGTATAATGTATAGTTCTAATATATAGTATATCCAAAGCCTTACTCATCATTACGCACCACATACAATTTGTCTGGTGCTCAGCGAAGAAGGGCCGGCTTAGATTATGGGCGCACCAACTACGAATGCTTTGCAAAGTTGAATTCCTTCAGGATTCCGCTATAGGAAACCCGCAAGCGGGTTTCAGGCTATTTAACAAATTACTTAAAAAAAAAAATTTTTTTACATGCAAGCTGCGTTGAGTTGCACATGCCCATCGGAGGGCCCTAGGATGCCCAGCAAACCTCCCCTCTCATCCTCACCCTTCAGGTGAGGGTTTGAGAGTATGTGTTTGATATAAATAGAACAGAAACGCAGCTTTTAGTCATTTTACATAAGGGGGAAACCCGCAAGCGGGTTTCAGGCAGGCTATTTAACAAATTACTTAAAAAAAAAAAAAATTTACATGCAAGCTGCGTTCTTCAAAAGGGTATTTTCGAGACCGGCTGGCCCTCCAAGGGGGACACCGACGAGGCCGGAGCCACTCCGGAGAATGCCAAGAAGTACAACGGCAACCTCATCAACAAGCTGGTGTGCGGGAAGAAGGGGACGCCCATGAGGCCCAACGCCGACTTGAACATCTATGTCTTCGCCCTTTTCAACGAGAACATGAAGTCCAGCCCAACCTCCGAGAGGAACTACGGCCTCTTCAAGCCGGATGACTCCTCGGCCTACTACATTGGCTTCAACAGCACCGGTCTCCTTTCCACTTCCTCCAATACCTCCACTACTCCTAGTAGTACTGGTAGTAGCAGCAGCAGCAGTAGTAGTGTTCCTCTTGGCTCCTCCTCCTCCTCCGGTAGCACCACTTCTTCCACAGCAGTAGTAGTATCATAAGATGAAAGTCAAAGAGAAATATGAAAAATATGGAAGTCCCTAAAATACCCCTTTTGGGTTCCTAGATTTGGAAGCCGATGGAAATTATGCGGTGGCGCCGCCGCTAAGCTCCTTGATTGGAATCGAAATATAAGTTTAGGAATTAAATTGGCTATAAATAATGTATAGGGACTAAATTGACGGAAAAAAAAAGTTTAAGGACTAAATTGGCGATTTTCCCAATAGATTATAGTAGTGGTGTAATAATTGTTGGAGTTGATGTTTAGAGCGAGTAGTGCTAGACGCGTTATACTAATAAGGGAGTCCCTATAAGTTTACTATAAGTGGAGAGGAGAGCTGGAGAGGCCCCTCAACTCATCTCATCTCATCTCATATATATCGTATCGTATAGAGAGAGAGACTACAGTTACGCATGCATGAGATGGACAGATGTCGGATAAGCTTATATGCGACTGCATTCTGCCTACTTATCTCTCTCTCTCTTCTTTTTTTTTTTTTCTTTTTTAAGGCAATGCTGCAGCAGAATGCAGAGACACGCACAAGCACACACACACACACACACGTGCGCGCTGAGGAGTGTTCGAAGGGTCCGTGGGTGGCCGAGCCTGATGTTGTGTGTCTGCATAGAATGTATAGATGCGATGGAGAGAATAGTGGAGTAGAGCTGGCCTCCGCCCAGATTCGGGTGGGTCGGTGGATCCGGACTCGACGACTCGGACTGCCCTTTTCCAGCTGTAAGACAAGTAGTAATTAGTAGCAAGCAGCTGTTTAATCAACAACTAATACTACTACTACTACACTGCTATTCCTATTCCTAGCCCCCCCCCCCCTCTTTCTCTCTCTCTCTCTCTCTCTCTATATGTATATATATATATATATATATATATATATATATAGGAGGGGAGTACTAGTCTATATGTCATTCCGTCCCTCCTACTCCACTTTCTCTAATAATAAATGTACTAATATCTATTATCCAACATTTGCTTTTTACAGCATCCCAAAACTCATTTCTTCCGTCAATTCCATCTCCATCGCATCTACTGGAAATCCATATTTTTCTTTGCATGTGGGCTGCCCTCAACATCAAGACTTAACCCAACCTAATTTGATTGTAACTCCCCCCTTTTACTTCTCAATCATCATGCAACTTCCAACTGTTCTTCTTCTTCTAACTCAGCTTTAGCACATAGGAGACATATATAAACAACAAGAATACCCCCACCACCACCAACCCCCCCCCCCCCCCCAACAAAAAAAAACCAAAACAAACCAATAATATATATCGAGTATCAAAGAAGGTACCCGCCGATATTCGACAATTTATGCAAAGAAATATAGTAGATGGGAACTCAATTTTTGCGCTCCCAAGGAACCCAAATCCCCTCGACCCATTTCTATTCAATTTCACCTAATTTGTGGTCCAAACCAAATTTGGTTGAGCTGATATGTCGTTGCAAAAATTCTTCTAATTGCTGAATTATCAAGAAACAAGTTTTAAAAAAAAAAAATCTAAGCTCTGGCTTACAAAAGAAAAAAAAAAAAAGAGAGACTTTTAAGTTGGTCAATTCGAGCGACCGGACATTTTAGCATTATCATTTGCAATAAGCTTTTCGGGATGCAAATGGGCACTGCATATTCTTCTGGACCCAAGTTCCTCGCCCTCCAAGCTCAATATGGCTGGAGCACAGGCGAGAAGACTCGCCTTTTCCCCACAAAAGCACCACCCCGGGTATCTATAATATAGCAGTAAACAAATAGTAGTAGGTTTGGGAAAATTGAATTCAACCACTATTTGTTGTTATACTGCTTGAGAAAGTTGCAGATGATCATGTCACAATTCTTTTTTTTTTTTTTTTTTTTTGCGAAAGACAAAAAATCACATCCCAATCTTAGAATAGCAAAAGCGGTGGTGGGGCAGGCAACATTCTAAACAAGTTTATCATCCCACGCTATGTCAATTATGTCATCTCCAGTGTCCAAAAGTCATTTCAAGAAACACAGGGAGGATTTCATTGCAAAGGCCAGCTCTATATACAAGAAGAAAAGAATAGGCAGAGATCAACCGCATTCAAGATGTGCAGGTGGCCGCTCACAGCGCGTCCTCGTGATAAAGATGAAGCCCCAGCCCAAAGCGAGCACATGCTCGACGAAATGCCATTGCTTCTGCCTTCTGCACTGCATCCCCATAACCCGGTTCACCTACAGACGCAGTTCCTGTTGACTCCCGATATATCTAACCAACATTACAAGTTTGACGAGCATTAGACAGACGGGAAAAAAAAGGTTTGCACACCTTTTCATACACTGGCACTGTTAATGGAGGATTAATTTTGGAAAAAGTTCCCAAGTGGAAGAGCAACACTATACAATACTGCTTTTTTACTTTTCGGTCAAGTCAGCAGAAATAAAATACTGCTGGCTAGCTACCAAAGAATCACAACAATTTTCAATTTTCTGCACCTTTTGTGAAGCCAGGAACCTGGGAAAGGGAGAGCAATTTCGACTATAAAATATACTGAACACATCTGATTCAGATTTTTTTTGAGTTATCTGGTCAATGAATTCTCATCAACTCATTCAGCATGTTGTAGGGCTTGCATGTGACAGATTCAACAGAAACAATTAACATGATCATTCTCGTGCTGAATTCAGCTAAATATCACTATCCCCTATGGGATAGTCACCAAAAACCCCTTATCCCAAACTAAAATTCAACCAATGCCCACCAAGAGCAACAAGATGTACTCAACACATGTTACTCGCAGAATCATATGAACTGGACAAATATCATGAAGGTCGCCAAATTACAACGCATTAAATAACCCCCAGCGTCAAATGCATCCAAAGAGATTTAATATCAGTGCAGCACCGCTATTTTGAGAAGACTGGTCATCAAACAACTTGAATTCTTTCTGTTTCAAAGACCCTAGCTCTTCCAAGGATCAGTAGCCATTAACAACTCAGCTACTGCCTACAGGGTAACATCTTGGACTTTTCAGGAGTAAACTTTAGTAAGAATGGAAGTTTGATTTCGGCTGTTTGAAGTAAAAGGTTAAAACACGATACTGGTCTGGCATACAACTTTGTAAGCCCAAAAGCAAAAAGGGAGAAGATTGTCAATGATAGTTTCTCTGCTTTTGGGTTCTGTGAGTTAAAATTAAGATGATTACATCAAATCCCTTCCTTATTCCCTTATTTGCATCTTCGTTCACTCAAAATCCTCACATCAAATTGATTACTCTTCTTGGCAGCTTTCTCCATTTCAGAATCCGCAAAATTCAAAAAGTATCCAAGGATTAACCACTTCCTTCTCCAATTTCCCTTTAAGGTCAAATCAGGCTATGCTGTATGAAAATGCCACATTGACAAACCAGCAAATTTTGCTCGCTATATCTTACTTTCCATCATTACCTCCACCCTTTCTCTCTCCCTCTCCCCAACCCCTCAAAGAAAGAATAAAAAGAAAGGTGAATAAAAATAACAAGAAGTCAAATTCATTACCTACACTGACAGGTTGTTTTGGCCTCTTCCCTTCAAGAGTAATGGTATGCAGCAATTGACACTTTTTAAGATCCCCATAACAACTACCAGTCCCAACGCATGTTACGCCACCAGAGAACAGATATGTGGTTCTTTCAGACCAAGACAAGAGAGGAATTTGGATACACATGGATGGAAGGACTAATTGTTTTTTCTAAATAAGTGATGCTCCAAAACTGACCAGTATCTTACACTTACCAGGCATGTATCAAACACTTAAAGTTACAGCTATTTACATATATCCACTTTCTAGCACTAGTCTCATTTTATCAGAATGAAAATAACAAGTTTTGAGAGCAGATGAACCATCAAAGTCCCCTGAGCAGACTGAAATTTTTAGGACCTAGACAAGCATGCTCAAAAATGGAAAGCAAAAGTAGTACCTCTGCATCAGTTCCATACAATGTTACACGATAAATGACAGAAACTGACTTCCCATCAGCTGAATAAGTGATGCTCCGAACTTCACCAGACCACTCTAGAACAGGTAAAGAATTAGGATGCTTTCTGAATGAAGCTTAAAAGGAAAATTGATCACTTCAGAAACAAGAGATGTACATAAAATGTCCAATACCTGGAGCATGCAAGTTCAAAATCCGATTGACTATGTGCCTTGTAGAAGGAGGGGGAAAAAGGAGATAAAAGTTAATAAGTCACAAATCACAATATTAAGGGAACAATAAGACTATAAACTTAACTCCAACGCACAAGGTGCCTCGCATACTGAGACATTGACAGACAATCTCCATTGAACATACCATGTAATTGCTAAAGCACCGTAGCAACTTTGCAAGTCCGGAATAAGAAGGTATTGTTAACTTTAAACTTGACCAAGCATTAAACAGGCCATGAAAGTGGAAACTACCTTAGGAATGCATAGCAAGTCTTTTTTCTTTTGTTTTCTTTTTTTTTTTTAAGGAAGCTGGATAATAGCAATATATACTCGAAGATTGATTACAGGCAGTGGCTTGGAGAAATACCAATCTTGGTGTTACAAATAAAAGACACTGATCAATTGGTGGTAGAAAGCTCAAATTTTTGGGGAGTCACTGAGAGAGTCCATCAAGCAGAGGCTGCATGAGAAAAAGATATTGCTTTGTTGGCAAAAAGTGACCCATTCAACTGCATCTAGGTAGTCGTTTGAAATTAAAACTGAAGATGGCATGAACACTAAAAAGGTTCCATTTTAAATAAAAGACTGTGCTTGCAAGGCAGACTTGAGATGAATGGGAAGTGAGTGCTTGATAGTGAGACTAAGTTGGGGTGAATATCTATCAAAGCATTTCAATGCTCCTCCTCTGGTTAAAGGGGTTTTTTTGGTTTTTAGGGGGGAGGGAATTATGTAGTCATTGTAGCTGCATTCATAGTCTAATCCAACTCTGCCACCATAATGGAACACTAAAACATTGTGAGAGACGTGGGAAGCAAAAGTTTTCAGTTTTTACAGAAAACAATGGTGCAAAGTAGTACACTTACTACTAGTAAGTTTAATTCCAGTAGACACAAACCATTAAGCAGAAAAGTGGGAGAGGAAAAAAAAACCATATATATATATATATATATATATATATATATCGAAGTGGTGGGAGTAGGAAAACCAGGGGATGTATTTGACGGAGAAGCCATTGGGTTCGGTGCGGGCACTGATGAGAGAATCTGGTACTTTCTTGTTGAGCTCTTTCAAGATTTCCGAAAGGGGTCTGCTTATTCCTGAAGTGGGCACCCCACCGGAATCGACGGCGTCGTGGTGGTGGTGGTGGGGGAAATCAGATTGCTTTGGATAAGCAGCATCAGCATCAGCTGATGATGATGAATCAGTATGAGCAACAGCAGCAGTGTCAAAAGTTTTAGGTTTGGCAGCGATGGAGCGCTGCTGCTGCCTACTGCCAAGCAGTTTACTGAAGCAGTCGCTGCTTCTGCCTCCTTTAAGTAGAGAATTTATTGCAGTTGTTTGCAAACGCCCCCCCGCCATCTCCCTTCCTTCCTCCCTACTGCTTCTACTTTCCCTGGTGGGCTTATTTTGTCTCTCTGTTTTCTCTGTAATACTACTACTATTTAATTTCTGATTAGTTGGGGACACCGCCGATACCGCTGTCGCTGTTCTGTTTTGGGTCCTATTAGGTTATCAGGTGAAATTACAGTCGACCCATTAGCCGTAAATGAGGTTGACGGTCAATGCACTTGTATCGGATCAAGCACCTTCACAATTAGTAATAACCTCTAGTGTATCCACTAACCAAATAATGATAATAATAATTTAACCTAGCAAATGTAGATGTTGATACAGTTACAAACAAAAGACATAATAAAATTTTCAATTGTTGAATATTTTTATAAAACAGAAGCCAATATTAATTGTGAATCACAAACTATTATATTTGATCAATTACACGAGTTGTTTCATAACTTGTGCATCATAAATATTTGTACATATGCCTATTGCCTTAGATTTATTATCTAACTGATTCAAGTTCAAAATTGACGTTAAAATCTGATAAGAAAATCTAAGAAATTCCAAATTTAACGTGTAAATCCAAAAAAACTCTTAGATCTGAAAAAATAAAAAAAAAACTAAACAAAACTCTCACTAAAATAACCTTCACTAATAAATACAAAGAGAGAGAAAACTTTCACTAAAATATCCTAAAAGAGATTTTATTATTAAATATAAAATAAAAACAAAGGATGAGGAAGAGATATCTACACTTGAAGCTAAGATCTCTCTCTTGTGGAGGAAAGAAGGTTAAGAAAATTACTAGTATTTCTAAATTAGACGCATCAATTGTTGAAATTTGTATCCATATTTATGGCTCACTTACAATTCGCCCAAGTCAGCCTCCCTCACACATTTTGATGGTTTCACTCTAGTGCGGTACCGTAAACCTGGATTTTAGGTTTTAATATAGGTAAAACTTACTCTAATTCGTCACGAACGGCACCTGATTTTCATTACCAAGTAAAAGCCTAATTTTATGAACTTTCTTCTTTCTGTATCCTTATCAAATCCTATAGTGGTGAAGGTCATTTGGGAGAAAAATGACAATCTTTTAAGGTCCATGACAGATATGCCTACTTTAAAAGATGCATCGATTCTCAATTGTTTTTGCAATTGATGGGAAACCCCAGGGGGGGTTGGGAGGGTGATAGTGTAGTCTTTTTTTTATATATGTAAAAGCAAATTTCACTTACGAATTGGTAAAAATCGTTCAACATAATTTGATTTACAATACTACTCTATGGCAGATTAAAGATGCATTAGACAATATTGTCATAATGATAAATTAAAGATGCACTAGAAATTTTAGATATGTAATTCAATAAATACAATACCTATAAAACATTATGAAAGTTATGAACTAATTTGAAAAGTGTAAAAAATTTCAAAATTGCCTTCTAATAAGATAAATCACTACAACTTCCTCCAACGGATGTTGGAAGAGATAGATCTACTAATAAACAGTTTTAAACTTCAATAATGATGATTAGATGTGTTGAAATAGATACACGATCCAACAAAATTTCAAATCTAACAAAATAAGAAAAATACAAAATTTTTCATAGGAATCCCCTAGGCGAAAGTGACTAGAAATTCTTAGAAGAAACATAAAACTCTAAGAAAACTTAGGAGAAAATGGCTTCCACCCTGGGAGGGAAGGTCTTTGAGAAGTGAATATATATAATATATATTTATATAGAGAGAGGGAGAGAGGGAGAGAGAGAGAGAGAAGTTGGAGTAGAGAGAGATAGAGAGGAAAAAGAAAGTATTCAATTAAAAGTTTAGTGCAAACCATCTAAATTCTATGTGATTTTGGGGGATGGTACAGTCTAATTACAAAAAAATAGTCAAAAGTAGGGATAATTTCACAAACCTCCCCTGAGGTTTTTAACAATTATAGATAGCTTCCCTTAGGTTTTAAAAATTACATATACCTCCCTATTTTTACTTTTTAGTAACAATATAGGTCCGACAACCTAAATTTTCTCTCAAAAATCCTAAATTGCCCTTTTATACAAAACTAAGAATCATTTTCTTCTACACTTTACACAAATCAATAAGTCTAATTACTAACAACCATCCAAACATAAGTTTTAAAATCAAATAACTGTCCAAAAGATTCTAAATTGCGGATATAATATCAATACTTGTCATGCAAAAAATAAAAAAATAAAAAACACACACAAACCCCATTGACAACCAATTTTATACCTCAAATTAAATATTAGTGCTCAAATACTTTTTCAATACAGTTAATATGACCTAAAACCACCATTACAACGCTCTTATGGTTTTAAAAATATTAATATCTTAAAATTAGAGAATAAATTCTGCCTCCACAATAAAATCATAATAAAAAATTTCCTAATCCAATGAAAGAAATCCTTATGTAATTATTGACATTTTATAAAAGTTTTTTTTACGACAAATAAAATATAACAAATTTCACATCTTTAGTTCTTTTTCCTATTTCAACTATCAATTTCATTATTTATTTCTTTACCACTGTGAGTCTCTTCATTTGCTTTTACTTTGACACATAATCTACTCCCTCTGTTGATTTTGTAATTTCAATTTGCTAATATCAACAAAACTAAAAATAATAAAAATAGGTAATACTCCCTCTGTCCCGATAAATTTGTCGTACTTGGGGAGTTGTGATTTTTATCAACAGTGCACTGAATCTTGCAAATTTTGTTTCAATTTCCACCTTTGCCCTCTAACGTGTAATGCTAACAAAGAAAGTTATGTTGGGAATCTGTTGTTGTAAGACTTATCTATTTTAGTTAGCTCAAAAATGCATGACCAAAGATCACGTATCAATAACGCATGACACACATTTGGGGGTGTCTTTCAAACACCAAATTGTGGTGCTTCCGTTTTACTTTGACTTTTGAGTTAAAGTTGTAGGACCCATATTTTAAGAGGGTAAATGTTGAAATTGGATGTAAACAAATTTTTTATTTTGAATATGTGACAATTACTTTGGGACAGATAAAAAAGGAAAGTATAACAACTTCAATGGAATGGACGAAGTTTTAATTATAAAAGAGAGAAGCAAAAATAGACAAGGGACAGAAAAATAAAAATTTTTTAGGTTTTGAAAATTTGTTGCCTTAAATTTAAAATTTTCTACCAAGTGGAGGGCATTTTAGGTATTTTACTATGTCAAGGGAGGTAAGTGTAATTTCTTAAACCTGAGGGGAGCCATGTGAAATTGTCAGAAACCTCAAGGGAGGTTTCTGAAATTACCCCTTAAAAGTATTTCGGCACGACCTCGAATTTCAGTAATATTTGTGGAAGTTTGGATGCTTGAAGGTTTCATTGCTTTGTTTGGCTTTGTTAAAAAGATTCATTGATAAATCATAAACTGAAGCAGGTTTACATTCCTAAACTTTCGTTGGGTGATGCAGTGAAAAATGATATGGATTCTTCGCCTGATCCTATAGGGAAACCGGTCTTGCAGCTGTCGCCCGCCTATTGTCAATTAGAATTTGGGTTAAGGTGATTGTTCGAATTGTTTGATTCAGTTGACTTCTCCTAATTCTGCATTGTTGCAGCAACAGCATGATGAGAGTGCTACTTTTGATCCAAATTTGGCTGATTCTAGTTTCGTGTTTGATTCTTTTATAGTTGGATCTACTACTATCCATCCTGATGTAATTCAGGATCGTTTTGATCCTCTTTTGCTGGCCTATGCTCAGGCCAAGTCTATTGATAATTAAGAGCATTCGTTGCAGCAAAATTCAGCTGCTGTGGGTTTTGGTGGAGTAATACATTTTTTTGGCTATGGGTAGAAATTTTTCTTTCAAGAAATCACTGGAATAAACCTTTGATTGCTCCATCAATGCCATATATGTTGCACGATAAGTTCATAACTAGCTAGCCACAAAGCAATCACTTCAGACATGCAATGAGATGAGAGAAGAGAGAAAAACAATTCCATATATGATTGTTTGCCACACGCCTGCGCCTCTAGCTGGTTAATTAACATAGATCAGCAGTGCGATAGACAAAATCCGAAATAACATTCAGTATAAAGTAGCGTGTGCTTCAGAAGTTAATGAGAGCCAGTTGTTGGACGCTGATGGGGTGACAATCGGAAGGTGGACCGGAATAGGCCCTCCGTGCGAGGATGGCATCAACGTCTTGAGTTGGATGGAATGCATCCCAAAACACGTATTGCTTTCGATCTGAGCATGGAGTCACAAATGGCAGACAAGTTATCTGCCCCTGATTCCTGCCTATCCCACAGCAACCTCTATCCCAAACGCTAAAACCTGCATGCGTGCGTGCATATATATTCCATATTATCAAATCTTATTTCATATGTTTATGAAACAAAATATTATATATATATATATATATATATATATATATATATAGTTTGATGATTGTAAGTATATATTTTAAATTTACCGTATCTGGGAGGATTGTTAATGATGTCGCCAATGGCGGCGTAGGAATTTCCGTAGACAAACATTGCACCGGGGTGGGTGCCGTTGTTCATAATGTCAACAAGCCTTCGGAGTCCTTCGTTGAAAGAACCAAGGATTTGGTTGACGTAGTCGACGCACCTGCCGGGAGCTGCTCGACCGGTCGCCAGCTGATTGGGGATGCATCCCAGGGGGCCAATGCCAGCCAGAAAAAACTTTCTGAGCCCGGCGCTGTAGAGGGCCACCAGCTGGCGGGCGTAGTGATTGAGGAGAAGGTTGGCGAACTGGGAAGGGGTGTAGTTGTAGCTGGAAGTGTAAAGGGATGGCATCAGATAGTTGTTGATGTAGTCATTGCTCCCAAGCACCATTACTGCTAAGGCTCTGGACAGGTATCGGGTGAGGTCTGGACCGGACATCATGTTTCTCAACTGACTCAAGTTGCTCTCGAAATTGATCACCTGTTGGCTCAGGGGATACCGATCTCCCTGCAGTTAAAATTAAATTAGTGCACCCAGAACCAGGAATACTTCAAATATGCATCCATATGCATGCATAATTCTTCAAAATAATTTCAATTCACACTGGTACTGCTTGCAGCTATATATATATATATATATATATATATATATATAGCATTCCTTTCGTTACAACATTATATTATAAGCAG